TCTGACCTCTATGTCTATCTAGTGGCTGTTCTGTTCTCTGACCCCAGATAGTTTATTAGGATGCACAATATATTGGGGGACACAATATATCATCACATTTTTACTGACTCTGAGACTGGAGACAGAGATCTGAAGATCTTGGATGCTCTTGAATTCTCTCACATTCAGCTTATATTTTTATTATATTAAATAAAGAGTTGTTAAACTAGGCTTTCATCAAATCCCTCCCACAAGCATCAGCAGCCCACCTGTACCAGGATATTCTACTATTTTTTGAGGAAAACCCAGATTTGAAAAGCCAAATCTAAACTACTTTTCTGCCCAAGGTAATTCTTCCCAGACCAATTAACAGATTAACTGACATGCACACATAGCAGTCTGAACTTGTACCAGGCACTGCATTCTGAAACATGCAGATTCAAAAGCTAAGCAAAGCAGGAACCCTGGGAAAGGTGATGGCTAAGTAAAAACTCTGTAACAGAAGTGTTGTCATACAAGAACCAGTCTGCTATATAGACAGAAAAGCCCTTAACAGTAACAGTGTTGGAAGAACAAGGCAATATATATTTAATGTAGTAAAAGGAAAGCAAATATTGCACTCTCCTACCATTTTGAACCTCTCTCCAAGTAGAAATGGTGTCCAGATGCCTGAGGCAGTCATTGCACCTGTGTTCATAACATCTATCTCTGCAAGAACGCGTATTTGCACCTGCCTTTGAATGTTGAGCATCCTGACAGAGTCATAGAGTTCTAATTATCCATGAAGATCTCCTGTCTACCTGATCCTTAACAGGTGTCACACAGATTGAGGACTAAAAGAAAAGCTTTCGAGTTTGACATTTAAGGGCACACTGATGGGATGTGTGGCTCCACATGAATGTAGCAGTGTGGGATGAGTGAAGTTCAGGTCATACAGTTCAGAGATAAAGGCAGACAGAAAGAAGACGGATCACTGTAGCTGCAGACACACGCATTGATGCATCTGTCCAGATAATTTTGTCAATGAGGGGAATGAACAGAGTAAGGCAACATAATGAATAGCTGGAGATACGGCTTAGCTCATAGAGTGCTTGTCTAGCATGCACTAAGCCTTGGATTCCCTGTCAACACTACAGGAACTCAACATGGTGGCACCTCTCTGTAATCCCAGCATTTGATATGTGGAGCCATGAGGATCAGGAAATCAATGAGACAATCTACTACAGTGAGTTCATGGTCAGCCTAGACTGAAGACCAAAAGAATTCTATCTGGGTATAATGTTTAGATTCCAGCCTAGACACAGAAGACTAAAGAGCTACTTTAAGATAATACTCCCCAAAGTTTGGTTCATTACTCACTGAAGACCAAAAGAATTCTATCTGGGTATAACATTTAGATTCCAGCCTAGATACAGAAGGCTAAAGAGCTACTTTAAGATAATACTCCCCTAAGTTTGGTTCATTACTCATTCATCATCAAGATTCATGATGGTCTGTTAACAGCATTCAAGAATAAGGCCGACACATAAACCCATAGCTGTAGTTCATAACTGCAAGCTTTGAGATAGTTCTGGCTTCTCTCTTTATGTGCAACCTATCCACTTCCTGTAGGCTAGGACAGCCACCATCTAATAAAAACATTGCACTCAGAGGTGGATCTGGGCTTCTACAGGGCAAACAGGCTTAGACAAATAGACATTACGATAAATGAACTTGTAAGGAAGATTCACTTTTTGGGAGGTTGCTGGCTCTCACCTTTGCCTTCTAAGACCTTCACTCACAGGACATCAGGATATTAAGCAACAAGCCAAGTGGCTGATTTCTGGGAGGCTGGGGGTGTCAATGGTGAGAGGAGGGAGTAGAGAAATGGGTCAGAACCTCACATGGCATTTGCAGACTGGAGTTCTGGATCCCTTTGCTTTGTTTTAAAGTTTTCTATCCCTGGGAAATCAATTTCATTTTTATCTCTAGTCTCTTGCTGGATGATTTACAGTCATACAGTTCTTTCAGCACACACCAGGAACAACATTACAAATACTAATTATGAACCTTAAATTCTTGGCTTTTAAATAATTAAGAAAAACTTGAAGGCATATAGACACAAACAACAGTCTATCTTCATAATCTGCATGGTTCAGGGAAATGCACACAATATAAATCTTTAAATGCAAAGCAAGATCTGTTTTAGAAACAGATACATAAGGGAAATTAACTTTTGTAGACCTCAAATGCCGGAAATAAGCTTTTGATCCCTGAGGGCAAACATTTTTGAGCTATGCTTCACCACATAATTACTATCGTTTTCTTAGTTAAACTTTCCCATTCCCTGCTGGCTGGTTTTCTATATAAACTTACTTTTATTTCTAATTACATCATTACAGAGATGAGAATCAGGTCTAATTAAATAAAAACATGAAAATAATTGTCATTCCCTTATCTGCTACCTTTGAAAGATGCCTCTTTAAAGAAAAATGTGCCTGGTCCACAGATTGACTAGAAATAAAGGGGACGCGCTAACAAGTCCCCATCCTGCACCTCCATTCGCAGACACTGGTTTCTGTCAGTCTTTTGTCTGAAATACATATATTCAGCACCTACTCTGTTAATCAACTACCACACACAGGTACTACGGATAAGCAAGTGTACTAATTATAGGTCTGCTCTCGAAATAAATGAGCTGGAACTAACCCCTCAGTATGAGAAGTGCCGCACAATATGTGAAGGACATTTACGGATCCATGCAAAGCCTTTCCTTCATGATCATGGACATAGAGAACATGCAGAAAGATTCTCACGCACAATTGCAGTATTCCTTTTCATATGACCACAGAAATTCCCAGACTGAAGAAAAGAGGGGATATATGGCTTCCTGTTCATACTGCAGAGTGTGGATAATGGTTCATCAGAACATGCATTTCTTGCAGAGGAAATTTTCCTGGCACATGCTGGCATTGCAGCACCAAATATAGAGAAAAAGGTGATGAACTCTGAAAGTTTGGATCTGAGGCAAGGAAAAGAGGAAAACAAGAAAATTTCAGATGTTTATAAGGGGTCTGTCTGGATCTTAAATAGAGGGTAAGGTATACATGGAGTATAAGTACATGTGTATATGTCTGTGCACATGGGCAGGTGTGTATGTGTGTGTGTCTGTATACACATACATGCACAGGTTGTATGCACATGAACATTTACATGTTTGTGTACATGCACAGGTGTTTGTGTGGGTGTGTCTGTGAACATGTACAGGTATGTGATTATGTTCATACATGCACAAGTATGTGTGTATGTACTATGCATGTGTGTGAGTATAGATATACAGGTGTGTGTATACATGCAGAAGTGTTTGTATTTGAACATACGAGCATGCATATGTTCATTCATGTGCTTGTCTTTGTAGTTCATGTGTGTGTATGTATGTGTATGCCTGTGTGCATGTATGTATGTGTGTCTACGTGCACACGGATCTATATGTGTGTGTGGACACACAGAGTCAGCTGACATTCTGGTAGAAACATTTCCGCACCACATCACATTGTTGACGATGAAGTGTTCTGTTTCCAAGACACAAGGTTAGGAGCGGCTTGATTCTTAGGAGCAAACCACTGATGACCAAAATGAAAGGGTGATGGCTTAGGAGAAAAAGAAAGTGAGAGAGCACAGAGAAGACAGCCAAGCATGAAAACCATCTAGGAAGAAAGAGATCAAGAGGAAGAAGTAATTCAAGGAAATTAAAATGGGGCAGTTGGGGATGGAGGCCAGAGACAACATTAAATGAAGAGTCAGGGACGCCATGAAGACCACGCTGCATCCACAGGTGAGGCGTTTGGCCAGTTTTCAAAAAACTTGACCTATCTATCTCATGACAAACTATGCACCAACATTTAACCCTACTTATTTTGTCATTACTCAGTATGTATAAGTCATTTACAATAATTTGTTGCCAGATCCTGTAATGAGTATACAGGATTGTGGCCTCCCTGGCCTGAAAGTGACTTAATCTAATCAGGTTTAACCCTCAGGGTTGGAGAAGGTCTAGGTCTCAGTCTCTTTGTGGTTGCACGGCTGAACCCAATGAACTGAGCTTTCGGTGCTAATCACCTATGTGTTGCCCTTTGGGAGGCACATCCAGAAACTCGACATTGAAGCTTAGAGGTTGTCTTCCTAACAAGCTCCCCAGAAAAATGTTGAACAGATGGCTTAGAAAATACTGGAATCAACTACACTTTGGATTCTTAAAAATCCTCATAGATTGATATTATCGAGTCTTTATACCCATATTCCAAACAGTCAGAATACTAAAAGAATTTGCAAATTGGCTTGTAAATTATTTAAATGTGAGCACGTAAAATGTGAAAAACAATCGAGGGCATAATTTTGTCTGATTCGCATGTTCTCAAAAGAACCATTTACTATCTAATCTAAAATTTCTCTCCTGTAATGATTTGATTTTTAATCCAGACATGCAATATCTAATATGGTAACCCACTGATTTATTAATGCAATCTTTTATATATGTCAACAAAGGAAGCTTAACCCATTTCCACAACAGTGAAAGGTAATGTGAATATTTAAATTATGTGATGCAACAGTAATTAATCATATTCAGTAAGCTAACATTTTAAAAAACCAAGCATCAGCAAGTCAAATAATTATATGTAGTAGCTACTTCATACCCCATATATATACATATGTGTGTGTGTATTATATGTTCACTATTAGCATGTGTGTGTGATGCATGAATGCATGTGTGCACATTTCTTGTTGTGGTTCAGTCCTTCTACCATGGTTTCTGGGCATCAAACATAGGACATGTGGCTTTGTGCATGAAGTGTTCTCACCCACTGAGCCATCCTGTTACCAGTCCAGGATATTTATTTTTATTTGAAACACTAACATCAACTAGAAAATTTCTAAAGCTGGGCCATTTGTATGTCTGAAGGTAATTTTCATTTCCCGGGAGAGCAGTGTGTGATGCTCTAGAAAGGCCTGCTGCAAGTATATCTCACATTCAGTGGAGTTACCTGAATGACACTATCCCCAGGACTCATGTCTGTGTAAACATAGACATCATAGGAGATTTCCGGGAAGGTTGGTGTGTTATCATTTGCATCCATCACTCGGATATTGACCACAACTGGTTCACTTTCTTGTACACCATCAAATGCTGTTATCTGTGGAGAAACAGAACATATTTAGTGGAGAAGTCACATAAACATAAGAGCAAAGAAGTGACTCTAACAAGCTAATATTTTTCATGTGATTTAAAAATATGCTAAGCTTTCAATAAAACAAACTAATAAGATATAAATTACAAATATCCAAAGTGTATCAGACTTTTAAGAAGCAGTTACTGAGGACTCCACATATGGTTACAGGGATTTTTAAATAATGAGATATGGAATGGTTTTAGAAGCTTACATTGGACTAATGACATTGATGACTCTTCAAAATTAATATATTTGTTTTTGAGACAGGAATCCTATAGTTCCATCAGACCTCAAACTCATTATATAGTTGAGGATGACTTTGAATTCGATCATCTCATATTCCTACTTCCACCTCCTAAATATTGGGATGATAGACATGCAACATCATCACATTTGATTTATGCAGTGATGGGGATTGAACCTAGCACCCCGTGCATGCTGGACAAGTGCCTCACTAACTGAGCTACATCTCCAGTCTCAGTTAAATTCATTCCCTAATGTATAACTGAAAAATTTTCCTCATGATAATAGAATTTGCATATGAGACAATTATTTCACAATCGGCATTCTTATATTAATTAAGAAACTGAAGGCCTTGGATATACAATATAATATTCTATCAATATGTAAAATGGTGATATACATGATTCATCAACATTCATTACTCAAGATAACTTAATTACCTTATTGACACGTTAGAAGTACCTAACACTCATGAATGCTGCAGCCATCTGTTGGCCATCTTGCCTAAATGACTTTGAAAATCTACTACATATCTAAGTTGTAATTGTCATTTGGGGCTTTCTGGAAGCTACGGTCATCTGCAAAGTGGGCTCTTCCAGAATGAACTCCTAAGTAAGCCCCATAACGTGTGCCCTTGTATCATCCACTTTTCTCTTTTGCTTCGTTTAGGAATTTGGATATAATTAAACTTGCTCTGCTCTCCATGATATATGGTACATTTATCTCCTACACTGTGATAAATGGCTACAAACCACAACTCTAATGACCTTCGTTCCTCCTCTAATAAGTCAAACCCAAGGTCTCTGTCTCACTATTACTGACATTCTGGGATGGATATCCAACAGCACTCATTGTTTCCACCAGAGGATGTCAGGAGCACCCTCCACACATCAACATGTGCTCTCTGGAGGAAGGAAATCACTGCTAGTTGAGAACTACCTGCTTCAGACAGCACTGAAATTGAAAATGCATCCACACCACAATAGTTAAAACAATGCTTTGTTTGCTGGGTTTCACTTTATATCATTCACTACTGTAAGGCAAAGATGGAAAATATTTTTCTCTAGTGAGTAAATAATAATACTGTTCTCCAATGGCACATTCTCCAATGGCACACATTTATACAGTAAAAGGGAAAAATGAATGTATTGATATTTTCTCTTCTTCCTGACACAGCATGTTTTTACCCACAAATCACTGACCTTATCAACTTTAATATCAGTTTCAACTGTGAGAATATAAACATGTGAAATATTTTACCAGAAAGGTATATGTTTGTTGTTCCTCCCTGTCCACAGGCTGAAGTAGCGTTAGGTAGCGGGTGATGCCGGTGGGTGTAACAGTGAAGACTGAGGTGTAGTCATTCAGGAAAAGGTGGAGCTCTGGATCTTTTGTCTTTGAAAGAAAATATATCATTTACAATGGTGATCACACAATGGACTTTTAGTTCATTGGCCTGAAAATTAAGTCTTGAAATTTATTACAAATACATGTCATTATATTAAAGACTCCTAAAGGAAAGGAGATTTTTGAGTAGCATTCACTCACAAGCAACCAAAGCCATCCAAGAACATGGGCTACAGAGTACTAAAGTGTTAGCACAATTAATGTAAAACAGGAAAGACTACAGTAAGAAAGAACAGGAAACAAGCTAATTGAATGTAATTCTGCTGGTCATTTGATACAAAACTTTCGGGCTGTATTGTATCCAAGATACAAGAAATAATAGGAAGAAAGGAAAATTGGAACCTAGAATTTCAGCTGTAAAATTTTATAGTCACTTCATTTATAGCAATAAACTGAACATATGCATGCTACTGTGTTACTCTCACTTTCAATGTAAAACAGGAATAAAATTGGTAATGCATTATTCATTACCCATAAATATTAGGCTTGCATTTCCTGTCTCATTTTAATACTCTAAAGCTCTTCAAAGGAAAACACAATATTTCAATTAAAATATTTCAGATGATTTGCTAGAAAATATATGTAAACTTAACACTTGTGCCTGTCAAAGAGCCTAGAGAAAATTATACTATAGAGAATTTTTTTTAATTCAGAACTAAGATAATTAGCATAGCACTGAAAACCCTTCACAGTTTTGCTCATCCCCCTTCAATGGTAAGACACCATTCACTGCTGTTTGGGGAAGGGATGGACACGATGTAATGTCCTTGGGTTACTGCTTGCACAGTGAACAAGGAAGGAGCTGGAGGAAATGAAGGGAATCCAGTGCCCTGTAGGCTTATAAAACTGGGTGATATGGGAGACAAGTGTATTTATGTGTGCTTCCTCTAAAATATTATCACAGTATGGTGTTCAATGTGTTTATGAAAGGTTTCCTAGGTCTTTTGCTAAGCATTAATCACAGAGCGCAGAGCAGGGGGATTGTCACATGTGTTAATTTGGGAAAAAAAAAATAAGACCTTGCATTTTAAATTTTCTGTGTAGAAAGAGAAAATAACTATTTATATAAAAGTGGGCATACTTTCAACCACAAGCTTTCATCAGTAGATTCTCCCCCTCATGTGGTTATTTGTATATATTTCAAATTTCTTCAAAATGGATGCTCTTCATCTGAACCTGCAACACAGTGTGCATTGAGGTTTGTGTGCACGTCTGTGTCCACGCTTTGGGGGTCAGGTTGGTGTACTCTTTTCATCTCAGAACAGCAAAGGAGGAGTGCTATTGAGATTGACTTTTTTGTCTATTGATTTTTAAATAATCAAATCCATTAACCCATAAAGAGCCAGGTGTCTAAGCTCTGATCTCTTCAAATGGGGCTTTGACATGCCTAGAACATGGGTTAAGTTGATAGAGAAACTATGCTAATTAAAAAAAATGAAATGATTATGAAAGATTATATCTTGACTAACATCCTTGAAAACTCTTCTCTTCTCAAATAATGGTATCAATTTTGATGGAATTCAGTTATTAATCTAAAGATGATAAAATCAGTGAGCTTACAGTTTCACAAATAAGTGAGCGTTTACTGGTATTTAGTGTATTCTTACAATTTTATCAAATTCCAATACTTTAAAATTCACATTATCTTTCTGTTCTCTGAGTGTGTTGCCGATATTGCTACCTAAGACATTTTACTCATGACTCCAGGCTCCTGTGATGCAAGCACATGAGCTTTGATATACATATGTTTAATAACAATGCAATTCTTCCTTCTGGTTCATATTTTCCATTATTCACTTTTCTCTTTGTGCTTGCATTTTCCTTCAATTTATTCTCTTCCATCAACTGTAGATTTGTGAGGTACACTCCTTAATACATTCACATGTCAGCACTGTGACAACATAATACTTCCATGAATATTAACTTGTCACCCTGCATGTGCTTATGTGACAATTAATTCCAGATGACACCATTTGCTTTGACCAATTTGGGGAGGCTACAGTGATTTTCCACATCAGATGCTGCTAACTAGAAATCAGCACACACAGTTCTCCAGCTACAGTAACACCAGAGAGGTTCTTATCATCTCAGAGCAACAGGGGCTGAGCCTCTCACAAGAAACTGACTGTAGATGGAGGCAGTGTATCCTAGAGCTGACCTTTACTGCCTCACATGGACCTGCCATATCACAGGACACACTTCAGCTCACTCTGCTCTGTTCTGCGGTTAGTCTGTTACTATAACAGAACATTCCTTGATATTTATATATATATTTTTTACAACAGGAACCTTTTAAATCTCTATAAGGTATATGTAAATGCCATTGCTAAATAACTTAGTGATCCTTCAAGAACACACATTTAAGACAGAGTTGGAAATATTGAGCAAATTGTCACTTAAGTGTTAATATTTTAGATTGATTTTAAGGTTAATGCTGAATTATAAAATACATTAAGTTTTTGATGACTTAAGTAGAAATGTCATGATCAGCATCAAATTCCAGTGCATGTGTGTCAACACAAAAAGCACTAATGCTTTAAGAATTTTATAATTAAAAGTTTCACCTTTCTTGACCAGAAACATTTTAAATATGCCAAAATTTTGGCAAAAACCAATACGTATGTTAAATATTCCTTTTCTCATAAAGTATAGATCTTCCTTTGACCAACTGCATCATAATATCACAGTTTTGATTTTTTAAGGATAATTGAATTTTCATAGAATTAATGAGTCAAGTTCAGGAAACATTGGTGTGTTTGCATTGCCTTGGACCATATAAATGTCCAGACTACTAGTCTTCACTGAATAAGATATGAATGGACATGTATTTCCACACAGCCAGGGGATTTTATGAATAGACACAGGATACTCTGATCTCATTTTCCACAAGGCCAGGAGAGTTCATGTAGCAGTCATGTCTATGTGACTCTAAAAGGAACTTCGGTTTGTTAAATATAGAATTTATTAATGGATAATATTTCCTTCTGTCACATAAGATACAATTTATTTTACCCTCAAACACCATGCAATATGCACCAAATATATGATTTATTAGTATATTGCTTTGGAAATTGTTTGAGGTAGGGTAAAATAAACTCCAACCCAATCACAAAAATAGGGAAAAAAATCAATATAAAAATAAGTGTATATACAAAAAGATAAATAAACACTTGAATATAAAATAAAATACCAAATAAAACTTCATTTATAGGCCTGTGTTCACATGGCTGTGTATAAGATTTGGGAATAGACATTTTAATGAGTCAAAATATTACCACATGCATGCAAGATGATATGCATGCTTGCATATGTGCACATAAAACATGCCTATATATGTGCCCATATACATGTATGCATATTCATGTGCATATATACACATGACAAAGAATGACAGGACATTTTAGAAATCGAATCTAACTTGTCAGTTTTAATTAATTAGTAATAGAGTACTAAAGTACTTAGATCAATACTCCTCCACCTCAAATTTAGAACCTTTTAGAAAAGAAATTCCATGATGAATTCCCAATGTCCATGACAGACTTAGAAACCACCAATATTTAAATAACATTTAATCTACTATTTGTTGACTAAATTATCACTTATATTAGTAAGTGATAATAAAATTTTATTTAGAAAGAAAAAGAACTAGAAATGAACCACAGCAACTGGCAATCACAAAACCAACAACCTAGTACGTACAGGAACTCCACCAGGTGGCACCTATATGTAAATTAGACACAAAATAAACATGGTAAGCATAAAGGTCATGCCTACCCAACGCACATAAATACACAATAGTAGAGAAAATAAATGAAGTTTGCTTAAGCTAACAGCATTGTCCATGAGATATACAATCATTTTTTTTCTTTGCACTTTGATATCTATATAAATGACAGAATTATATTTTTATAAGTATCTACTTATCAGTACATAATACCATGAAAAATACATTGATTAAATATCTTAAAACATCAACACTTACATTGAATTGTTAGTGAATCACTATCATTAAACAAGCTACTGAATAATCGCTGATTGTCACCTCAGGGGCTCTTACAGAGAAGTTCAGTGCTCAGCTTTTCCTGGCTCTGCCTTTGGAAGCATAGTGGTCTCAGTTCTGTTGTAGACCTTGTGCATTTCTTGATGTTCTTCCAGGAAGAGCTATTTCAAAACTATACTGGCTGTACTGCTAAATGATGTGAGTAAGCATTTCATGTATGTGTGCATGTTGATATATGAAAAATAAAGATTGATAGAAGGATGTTCTCTTTAGTAATTTTTCAGTCTTACAAAGGATGCTCAGGGTGCTTTTTAACTCCACGTCCATACTATATGAATGGCGCTATAAGCCAGCAAATTTGGCTTTTTTCCTAAAATCTTGTCTCACTTTTTCCTGGTAGAAGGAAAAAGCCATCTGTAGGATGTAATTTACCATCTTCAGAAATGGATCCAGTTGGCATTTGCCCTTAGACTTGACTATTCCTGAAGCTGTCCAAAGGAATCTACTCCTGCAGTGAGTTCTGGCTCCCTTTGCTTGAGATCAGTCTCTTTTGATATTGGTAACATCTTCTTGACGTTTCTCATTTCTATAAGATTATTGGACCCCTGCCCTGTGCTGGTTACTCTCAATTCTGGCTCCTCTCAGAGCAAGTTGGTCTTACCAGCTAGTGAATAGTTTCACAGTAAATCGCAATAATCTTGATATTTAATTTTGTAATGTAGATACTCTGAAACTCCTAGAAATGAACTAATTTATTTTTTAAAAAAAAAACCAAAAAGAGTGTTTGAAAGAAAAAAACAAGCACAGATGATGCAGACAAATATCAATTTTCAAACATATAAATGTCTATTTTGTGAATTTTTTTGTGTTCCAGTGAAGGTAGAATTTTAAAATAATGGATGAGTTGTAAGTAAGTAGCTCATGTGAACATGGTAAAGACTTCTCTAAGAATGAGAGTGGACCACCATTGAAAGGGATATCTAGTGAGTCCCTGAACTGACTAACTCAATATTACTGGAATATCAGAAGCACATGCTTGATGTCCCCATTCCTTCAACCATGTCTGAGTTTATCAGTACGTTGGAGAGCTATCAAAACCTATCAAGGGGTGGGAAGTGGTGTGAAAAATAAGCAAGTTATCATGGCATGAGATATATCATAAAGAGATTTCAGATTAGTGAAGTGGAAAGACTGACATTGCAGAATCGAAAGTGCGTTAGAGAAATACACCAAAAAGGGACGTTCATCTCAGCTTGGACTATGAAAGAAAAAGATTCTTGAATGAGGAAACCCCAGAGATGAATTACAAACAATAAAAAAATGTTAGCTAGCCAAAACAGTTTATATAAAATAGAATGAAACCCCTTAAGTTATACAAAATGAAGCAAAGTCATTTAGCTAAGACATAGCTTGGCAAATGTGAAATGTGCCCGTGATTGTACAGGGTCAGCAGGAAGTTTCAGAAATTGAAGATAGGAAAGTGTTCAGGTAACAAGAAGTGCCATTTGCATGAGACTGGGTATTCCTCTACAGAGCAAACATGTCTCAAAATATCTTAACTACAAAGAAATCTAGTATGTATTCTAACCTAAAGTTTTAATTAAAAAATAATATCAAAGTCCTTTGAAGTGTCATACAGTCATGTCTTGAGTTTTTGAAAAGTCACTCAATGTCTCTTTCCGAAATAAGAGGATTTTTGAGATGGAACATTCACTGTGTTTTCAAGCAGAGACAACAAAGTTGACAGGACTGTGGTTAAATCTGTGATTCAAGATTAAGAGTACAAGAAACAAAGGACCAGAAAGTTAGACAAGAATCAGAAGGGCAAGCATAAAGATAAAGAGAACATTGAAAAGGAAGAGATGTATGGGGGAAGGGAGCACAGGAGTTGCCAGTCTCAGGTGACTGGAGGAATTTTGTGTCTTCTTGTGATTGCAGTGATGAAAAATTTAAGGACGTTCTAGAACAGTGCTGTTCATTTAGCCAAATGTGATATCTATGTTTGTCAATCAGAATTTTTAAAAATTCAAGTCAGATGTTGTGGTACAGGCCTGTCATCCCAGGGCTTGTGAGGTGGAAGCAGAAAGATGAAGAGTTCAAAGTGGATTTTAGGGGCTCAGGACAGCTCTGGGACCTCCTCTCTCCTCAGGACTCCGCTATGCTCCATGTTTCCCCTGGCAGCTTGCTTTCATTGTTAGTGTTGTGTTAGCTGACTGGCTACAAAGATGTCACATTCACTACCGCTATAGAAAATGATGTCACGCTTCCTTGCTCTGCCTCTCCTTCTGTAAGTTCCTAGAGGACGCTGTGTTGACTCACATGAATTTTCTGTCCAGTCTTCATATAAAATCTCTGTGGCTAATGGGATAAATTACTCTCATTTTGCCTAGCTAGACTGTTTTCCACTCCTACCAACAAGGTCTATACTACAAGACCAGAAGTCAGCCAGATGGGACCTGGAGGAATAGAAGCCTCACCAGCTACCAGCTGAAGTATGCATGGGCCAATGGCCCCCAAGATGTCTTCTTTAATAACCTGCCATCACAGTGGAAGGGAATCCCAAGATGCTACTCTGGGCTGCTTTTGGAAATGTTTTTTTTTTTTAAATGATTGATTCACATTTTTTTGTTTTCACTTGTTTTGTTTTATTTATTTACTTATTTATTTGTGTGTATGTATGTGTGATACATGTGTGTGCACATATGGTATATGTATGTGGTGTGCAAATACACCTGCATCTGTGTATGGATGGAATGCATGAACACATGCCGGTGTATGGGTGTGCATCCAGGCATGGAGGCCAGAGGGGAAAATCTGGTATTTTCTCCACACCTCATTGTTAGCAGTATTTCACTGGTCTGGAGATCACTTGCTGGTTACTTTCTTTATGTGAGTGCTCAGAAGCTGAACTGAGGTCTTCCCACTTGCCAGGAAGTGTCTCTCTCCTTAGTCCTCCTCTTGTGATTTTATGTTCACTTTATAATGCCGTTATTTTCCCTATCACAAACTGTACCAAACAGCTTTCAATTTATATTAACACAAAAAATCACCCTGGTGATTTAGCAAGCACCAAGTGAACAATTCATTGGCTTTCATATGCAGAACAGCTACATTGAAGAACAGCAATTAAACGAAACACACGTTTAAAAATACCTCTGATAAGGAATTAAACTGTAGCTCTAAGATTCACTACACCAACTTTGTTTAGTTTCTGCTTTGTGGTTTGTGCAACTGTTATTTTGTACTACTTCCTATAAACATATATAGAATAAGAGGATATCAACAAGCAATAACAAAAATGTTCATGGAACTTACGTCTTCTATGTCTTTGTCCAGAGCTACAATTCTCAGAGGAGTGGTTAAGTTTAGGCTCTCAGAAATGGTGGCTCCCACTGGGGCAGATTCCAGGATGTACCCTTGATAGCTGGGCATTGTGAAATATGGGCTCTGATTATTTTCATCCAGTATTTCGATGTGTAGACTAGCAAAGGCAGGAAGTGGGTGGCCATTGTCCTGCTCAGCCTGTAAATTAAAGGAAAAATAGCTATGATGTCCTTTGGAGTGACTCTTTCATGCCATAGGCATAGACTTTCTTTACCATAGGATTCTTGCAGCAAGGCAAACTGCTCTAACAAGTGTTAGAAAACATAAATGAGAAATGGAAGTAGAGAGCCCTTATTGCTTAATTGCCTTTTTTTCAAATCCAGTATTCATTTCAGAAAAATGACTATGATAAACTATTGCAATACTATGTACAGTAAAGAGATAAGTGTCTTGATATACAATTAGAAATACAGAAGGTGAATAGAATTGAGTTGTTGATAACTCAAGGATACAGAAAAAAGAGATTTATTAGTCAAATAAAAACCTCTTCTTTTGTCTTCTCAATATCTTCTTATTCCACACTGGAGATTAACTGCCTGGTGTCCTGTGAATGTGTGTATGTCCAAAGTGATATATTAAAATCCTAACCTAAAAGGGAGTAAGGGGTGTGGCTTTGGGGATGAATACCTTGACAAATGTTCAGCCTCTATCAGTGAGATTATTGTCCTGAATAGAGAGGCCCCAAGTAGCCCTGAGGAGGCAGGCCTGCCATCTCAGAACTGCTTGATAGACTCTCGAGGATAAGAGTTCTAGGACAGCCTGGGCTATACAGGAAGAACCATCTTCCCAAACAAACAAACATGCAAAGGCCCTAGAAGAACCCTGGGCTTCTGCCACCACATGAGAGCACAGCACGGAAGTGCCAAATAGGAGAGGATGTACCCTTGGCAAAACGAGCCTGCCAGAGCCTTGTCCTCAGACTCCAGAGGCCAGAACTGTAAGAGATTCATGTGGTTGGCATGAATCTGGCACTATGCATTTTGTAATGGCACAGTCCCCAGTAACTGTCTTGCATAAATTAATAGATTGAAGCTGCATTTGTCACTCAGAAAAGGACCTGAAAAATCACAGCTACAAGTGAAAGAAAATTCCACCATAATTTTTAGTAGTTAAATGATTCCTAGGGTTATTTATTGGAGATACATTACTCAAGTATACTTAGATAAAACTGTACTAATGTATGTGCTTATTTTTCCATTTGTTTGTTTTTGGGGGCAGGTGCTATTTTTCCTCCAGTTCTAAAGGACATGGAATGGTAAGAGAAGAAAGTAATACCCACTGAACCCCCAAGACCAGCAGAATCCATCCTGGCAATCAATGGGGTCACATGTGGCAATCACATTGCCCTCATATTCCAAACCTAGGCTTCTAACGTAAACTTTTCTTATTTAACATTTCCATTGAATAAGAAGATGAATAATAAGCCCCACTGGGGTTAAGTAGAATTGATGACTTTGTTTCAAGAAAATCCCCAGGATCTGTTACTATATGGGACTATCACTCACATTTAAGATGTTATGAATGTCACAATTACTAATTTTAAAGTATGACAGCTAGTAAATGGACAGCCAAATGTTATACACTGCATTGAGAAACTTCCTTATATATATTTTAACTTATTTTGTTGTCACTACTTTGAGATTAGTTTTTCTTTTATACAGTTATTTTGTGCCTTTACATTGTCACTTAGCAGTAGAATGCCAAAATAGACCTTGGCATAAGGTGTTTTGAGCTCCACTCCTCAATGAAGGTGACCCCAGAATCAATCCATGGCTTTTTCACACTGATGTGGGTGGTGCTTACATCATCAGTTCAGAGGTCACTGTACTTTCAGGGAATGGGATTAATTGTGCTGAGCCATGGAATTTCTAGGAGCTCATGTGATGCACATCAGGAGATACGCACTTATAGAGATAGCCAAAAAGAAATGGAGATGCAGTGTACAACCAGCATATAGTCCATCATGATAGAAACCAATGGTTCAACCATGGGGCTCCCATCTAGCATGATGGCCTGCTAAAGGCAGAGATGCTCTGTGTCAGGCCTGTGGGCATGGAGCAGTTCATACACACGGGCCATTCTGAACAGGATTTTTTTCTCTCTGTTTTACTATTCTTGTTCTAATAGTTACTAAGTGTTGTCCAGAGATACCAACAATGGTGTGATAACTTGCAAATTGTATAATCTATTTCCCTCGTCAGACAAACACATACATATTTTTAATGTGGGAGAAAATGAGGGAAACTGCACAACTGTATAATAATGCAAGAGGCTTGTATTCCATATTCAGATTGTGTCATTAGCTTTTACTACCAGCTGTGAAGCTGGGAAAACATGTATTATTTGCTTCATGAAAACAAAGTGATTCAGTGGGAAGAAAACTAAAACTCAAATTAGATTCTTCAGAACAACTTAATTCCCACTGTACCTATAGTTTTGAAAAGCATCGCATGAAAATTTTACTGGTTGTTATACAGATATTGATTTGTTGTAATAATGACTAATGCTTTTGGATTGCTATTACACCTTTAGTTCCATCGGAAGAATGGCGGACCCATGTCTAGTGATCTGTCTCCAAGCCCACATTTTTATTCTGATGCCATTTGCCTCTCTAGATATCAAACCACAAACTTCTACATTGGGAAAAAAAAGCAGAGAATGTTAGTCCATGTTCAATGCTGTGTGGTATTTAAGGCAGGTTGGGCTGAGATGTCTCCAGATGTGTGAGAAACTGCACAAGGAAATTTACTGCAAGTTCCCTAAACTGACAGAATAATAACAATAGGAAAATGGATGGGAGAAACTGGCAAAGGAAATCATAGGAAGATACACACTTCCTCTTCAGTTAGAGTTAAAATGTAGCATTGAAAAGCAACAGTATTACACTTTGTTCTTTAGCATTGACCAGTGCGTGGTTAGAAGTAGAAAAGCGTATCTGAGAGGCAGAGTTGAGGGCTGGTGAGATGGCTCAGTGAGTACAGTGCTTGCTATGTATGAGGAACACTGCTGACTCCCAGCACCCCACCTGAAAAGACAGGCACAGCAGAGCAGGCATGCCTCTAACCTCAGCATGGGGAAAGGGGAAACAGGAGGGTAACCAGGACTCACTACCCTGCTAGCATTGCCAAGTCAGGAAGGTCCGGGTTCAGTGAGAGACTCTGGCTCAAAATGCACGATGAGGACTGAGGACGACACCAAATATTAATCTTTGTCCTCAACATGTATGCACACATAGTCAGGATCGCACACATACATGCAGGTACACACACAAATGGACATCAACACACACATACACACACACACAAAAAAAAAAAAAAATTAAAGACCCATGTTTGTTTGTAAAAATTATAAGTATCAGTTTTAGAGAAAACAGTGAAGCATAACTAATGCTCATGTTTAAAGCTCAAACTATTTAGATATTCCAAGGACAGGAAGCTGAAAGCATTTCAATGCTATTTTTAAAATAAGGAAACAGAGGGCCTGATCCAGTTGGGGGCTCCTCAGCTATTGGTTCATAGCTCATGTGTTTCCATTTGTTTGGCTATTTGTCCCTGTGCTTTATCCAACCTTGGTCTCAACAATTCTCGCTCATATAAACCCTCCTCTTTCTCGCCAATTGGACTCGCGGAGCTCCACCCGGGGCCTAGCCATGGATCTCTGCATCCAGTTCCCTCAGTCACTGGATGGGGTTTCTAGCACGACAATTAGGGTGTTTGGCCATCCCATCACCAGAGTAGGTCAGTTCGGGCTGTCTCTCGACCATTGCCAGTAGTCTATTGTGGGGGTATCTTTGTGGATTTCTGTGGGCCTCTCTAGACAGTTGATTAGCTTGATCTGTTTGGGAGGCATCCAGGCAGTGGGACCAGGTCCTGTACTCAGTGCATGAGTTGGCTGTTTGAAACCTGGGGCTTATATAGGGACACTTGGCTCAGCCTGGGAGGAGGGGACTGGACCTGCCTGGACTGAATCTACCAGGTTGATCTCAGTCCTCAGGGGAGTCTTTGCCCTCGAGAAGATGGGAATGGGGGGTGGGCTGGGGGGAGGCGGTGGGGGGGGCGGGAGGGGAGAGAACAAGAGAATCTGTGACTGATATGTAAAATTAAATTATAAAGTAAAATAAAATAAAATAAAAAATTAAAAAAAATAAAATAAGGAAACAGTTATAAGTTCTGAGTGCCTTGCATCTAAGTACTAGGAATACAGATTGTATATAATTCTATATATTATATATTCTGTATTCCTAGCACACACACACACACACACACACACACACACACACACACACACACACACACCCCTCACTGGCTTTTTGAGACAGCATCTTACTTTTGGCCCAGGCTGGCTGTAAACTCTGAGGAATGGTCCTGCCTCAGCCTGTAAAGGGCTGGGGTTACAGGCATGTGGTGGCACAATGGTTTTTAAACTCTTTCCATGCTGGTTAGTGGTGAGTAATTTAACACATAGATATGATAAACTTTAAAAGCGTAATATAAAAAAAAAACATTTAAAAATGTTCCACAAAAAGAGAATAGATTCTTTTCCTATGGTACCAGGGAGAATGTATTTCTTTTCTTTTTTCCTTTTATATTTACTTATTTAGTGTGTGTGCACAAAAAAAATTTCTTATAACAACTTTTCTTATTCCCTTTCCAATTAAATGACTTACTAACTAGAAAAGGACTTTATTTATAGTGCCAACCAAAAGCTGGCAAAGTGACAACTCTTAACAATAAAAATATGACTTTTATACATTTCTAAGCTAGTATTTTTCTTATTTGAAAACATATTTTTATATAATATAGCCTGATTATGGTTTCCCCTCCCTCCATGTCTCCCAGTTTCTCTCCACACCTTTGACATATGGATTCACCTCCCTTTCTGTCTCTCATTAGAAAATAAACAGGCTTCTAAGGAATACTAATAAAATATAATATAATATTATAAGGTAAAAAAACACATCAGAATAGGATAAAACAAGCAAACAGAAGGAAAAGAATCCAAGGAAAGATAAGAACCAGGTAAGATGCAGTGAGTCATTTGCTCACATACTCAGGAATTCCATAAAAACAGAAAACCTGAAGCCATAATGTATATACAAAGGACATATTGGGTTAAAAAGAGAAGGAAAGAGAAAAAAT